TTGGATTATCTCATTGATCTGTCTGAAAGCAAACTTGCCAAATCAAGAGTCTGGCAGGTTGCTTCACTCCCTAGAGACGGTGATGTGTGTGTAGAGCCAACATAATGCAGGAATTAAAGTGCAGGGAAAAGTGGAATTGTGTCTTTCAGTAGCTATTTAAAGTTAAATGTGCTTATGCTTATTTGGGAAGTAGCCTCTCTATTTTTTGTTCTTTAAAAAACCCAAACAAACCCCAAAAGGCCAAACAAATAAAACCACCCCACCACCATCTTGCAAACCCTCAATCTTCTCCTTTTAAATCATTCTGCAGTCAAATTGCAGTTGGTAGCAGATAATCTTCCCTAGGTTTTCTTGATATATCTTTTTAAACAGGGTGGAAGGATGCCTTTGCAGTTAAGAATGCTAGATTGGGAGTCTTTTCTATACAACAAAGTGGTAGTTTCATTTTGCTACAAGTACTTTTATCTTGTAGATTTTTCAGATAAATCCATTATTGTATGCAGCATTCTCAGGTAATGCTGATGAGCATCTGGAAAAATACTGAGGAAAATACTGCATAAGGAAAGAGATTTTATCTGTAGGTTGATAATGAATAATATACCATATGTTAAAACTTTTGGTCATAACAATGATTTTTTTTATTTGGTATATCTAACGTTGTAACTGGTGTTGAAACAACTGCTCTATGTGGCTAAAAATGAATTAGTGTATTGTTCAGATCTGTGATGCATTTTATGTTGCAAATATAAAATTCATGCTGTTGAATTTGCATTCTGCTATTATTTATAATTTAAATACATCATATATATGTTAAGCCATGGCTCCAGACTCTCTAAAGACCTGAATTTAAAAAAACAAACAACAACAACAAAAACCACAACAAAAAATCTCATGTGGCAAGGTCAAATTAAAGGTGCATTCAACAGCATTTGGAGTTATTATTCTACATCTCAAATGTAATGCAGTATAAATGGGTGTTCCTTCTAACAAATCACTTCTAACTATTAGAGCTAGGACTGTCTTTTATGGGGACAAAAGAAGTGAATTATGGTGGGCTTTATAAGTCACTGTACCCGCAACAGCTGAGCCTGGGAAAGCAACAGATACCTTGAACTCAGCCCCCTAATACTCACATGTGCTTTCTCATTACCTTTTATACTAAGCAGGTGTTAGCTCATATGAAAGAAGAACTAGTTTCCTCACCCCCTTCAAAGCTTCACAGACAACTTCCTCAAAAATTTTCACTGAAGCTTTTCTTTTGTCATCCCATCTAGAAAATTTCGGAACTTGCAAAAGATCATCCAACTGAAAAAGGCCCAAAATCTTTATCAGCTACCTGCTAATCTGAAAATACAGCAGACCAACAAATGCCAATTTTTTTTTTTTTCATTAGTAATGCTTTAGTAATGATCTTTAAATAGCACAGTGATGATAATTTCAGTGTTTTCATAAGGCTTTTAAGCATCTTAACTATAATCTTTGAAGCTACTCAATTACCCATGTAATCTGTACAGTTGAATACACTGAAGATGATAGTCTGAAGAGCTTTCTTCAACTGATTTCATGCTCATGGTTACCATTAGATTTGCTGATTTCTTAATCTTTTCAATACAATTACAGAGAAAGTAGTCTGTGGTCTGTTTTAATGTATACAAGATGAAAAAAGCAAGTTTTCAGGACCACATCTGTGTTGTGGTCCTGAAAATGAAGTGGTACAACTCAGCGGCTTCTTTAATACTTTGTGTGGAAAAGTGAATCAAGAATTACTGTGTAATTGGCATGCAATATTAATCCACTAATATGACTTTTTATGATACAATGCATGCTTGTTCCAGTGAGTACTGTTCTGAATGGTAGCCACTTAGCTGTCAAAATTTTGGCAGCAGCTCTAGAAAGTCCTGCAGAATAGAATAGCTGTAGGAAGGAAGGCTGCAGTGTGAAGGAACAGGATCTTGTGCATTGAAAGAAACTACCTCCCAGCTAATGAGAAGGAAAATGTAGCCACTGAGCATCATAAAAGAATTTGCCATTTGTAGCATATTAATATATTGCAGAATTTTAAGGTGTCACGTCCATAAAACCATCCTTCCATCCTGCTGTCCAATAATTTAGCACAGTCTGGGAGAGAGAGAGAGAGAGAGAGATGCAGTCTCTGCTTGCATAAGCAGAACCAACTGAGGAATAGTTACTGGCCCTCTGATGCTTTGCTGTGAAAAATAAGATAAAAATCTATTACATATCGAAGCTGTTTGGGGTTTTTTTGTTGGTCCTTCTGTTTTTTAAGTGGGACCAATGCATTTCAAAAGAATCCAAAAATGTAGCAGGTATCTCATTTGTATGAAAGCAAGATACCCCCAGATATTTTACAGTTGAACTTCAGATTAAAATTTTCCTGGTATTTGACATCAAACTAAACAGGGAAAGGTTTGAAAGAGGATCTGGTAAGGCTAGCGCTCTTGCAAATATTAGGATGAGTGAATTTTTTCATAGCATACAAAATATTAAGTCAATTTCTTTCAAAGATGAGAGGTATTAAAAAAATGCTCCTGAGGCATGCTCTGTATCAGCTCAGCTTTCTGAAGAGCTGATGGTGGCGTGCCCAGGTACAGTCCAGTTATGACACGAACCACAATGCTCCAGACTTGCTCCCTTTCTAAGGCAGCTAGAAACAGTTCTGACATTGTGAACCAGAGACATATTTATATCCTTGGTTTGAAAATACATTGTTTCACTACAAAAATAAATTCTGTTTATCAATGCAACTAATATTTGTTTATTTCATCACATTTCATAAAGCTTTGGTAACTTGTGTTTTACTAAATTATGTTGTTAAATTTTGGAAACTCCTGCGTAAGTGAATCTCTCAAAGAATTAATGTTGGTGTTTTGGTTGGGTGTTTTTCCCCAAATATTCTAATCTTTTTTCGTAGCATGACAGAGCTGTAGAAGGCGTTATGAATAGAAGCTGAGCAATGGTTCACAATGAGCAATGTACAATCTGTTAAGTGTTGTTGTCTTATTTTGCTGTGTTTATAAATGATTTGGACTGTGAGGAAGTGAGAAGCTTAGTCCTGCCAGGAAAACAAAACATCCCAAGAGGCTGAGAATGGTTTCTTATTTATTTGCTTACCTCAAGAAAGCTGTGATTATGATGGAGTCTAAAAAGACCGAGGTAACCAACAGACTGCAGAATGCATTCAGTTCCTGGCCAAGTGCTTATGTCCACTCTCTGGAGGACAAACCTCCAGAGCAGCCTGGCTGCGGATGCTCCACGTAGCAGTTGGTCGTGGGTGTCCTGTGGGCCTCTGTGATCCTGCTGCTTGAAGATGCAGTTCCTGTGTTGTGGCTCCTTCACCTTCAGACACTCTGAATCTGGGGAAAAAAGTGACTATTACACTGCAACTGCCAGGATGGTATATTAAGTGTGAAACTTGAGAATTTATGTTGTGTACTCAGTGCAGTAGCAGGAGAACATGGAGATGCTTAAGAAGTCAGAGTCTGTTAGGAGAGCATCCAAGAGGTGTTTAGGAAGGAGTGCACTGTCTTACTGGTACAGTTATCTACCTCATGGACTCTTACTTCAGCTTTTCAGGAGGGCTCGTTGGAGTGAGCTGTTCCCAGAACCACAGCTTTTTGGTTTGCTTGTTTTATGGGAAACTTATTGGCTTACTCTAAAAGAGAGCTTAGGAGTGAATAACACTTACACAGTGTGGATGTTCAAGGTAACAGATTATTGGAATGAATTAGGAGCTTGACAACACAATCATCTTATTGCTATCTGTTGAGAATATTTTTAAGTAAAAGCCGAGAGGCTCATTTTATGAGGATATTTCTGAGGCTTATTGAGATCCCACATTTTCAGTATCAGCTGGCTAATGAAGAACTGTTTAATTCAGTCATAGTATTTGCCTTGCAAGGCGTTCTGTGACTGAGTGGTTCCACTTGCGTTAGCTAATATTACTTGGATATTAAAGTTTTGAATTTTGTGAAGAAGCTCTGTTTCTCCTGTAAATATCATGTTGCTTCAACAGAAGGGAAAGATCAGATGATAGAAGAGGTTTCCTGGCACAAGATTGTAGGAGTTTCTGGTTTTCTGTTTGTCTCTGAGGAACTGTTGTAAGGGAGCTGCATGTGCTCTTTATAAAGATACAACAATAAAGGAATTAAGTTTGGTTACTTACCTATTCCAAAAGCTAAGTGAAGACATATGAACTTAAGAAAAGTGTATTTCTGAGAGAATACAAGATTGAGCAATTTGTTTATCTAGCATTGTGTTATTAGTATCCTTAACACTGCAGTCTTTGGACTTCATGGATTTTAGTCTGCTTTAATACTCTAGTAATCGGGTTGCTTTTCCCCACCCTTGAATTTGAGGTGTAAGATAATAAATCCCTTTCCTTTGGTAGGCATCTTGGTAAGCACATACAGAAGTATGGTGGAGTATTAGACACTGGTATGGTATGTGATACTCAGCCATTATCTGTTATGAAAATATTCCACTAATACTCACTTTACAGTTTCAGCATTTATTTTGTCTGTGGCTAAGAGGTCTTACTCCAGTTTTATCTCAGAAACTGAAAGTCTTAACTGTTACAGCCCATGGCACCAGTTTACAAAGTGGTGATTTTAAAGAAATCTAATGTGGTGGAACTTGGTCATTAAATAGTTAAGGATGCTATAAGGATTTTGAGGGAGAACATGTCTGTCTGTGTTTCAGAATTTGCATGAATACTTTCTTTTAAGGTAATTTTTACTGCTAGATAACATTCTTTGAAAAAATCTGATTCCCACACTCTGTTTTGGGTGTTGTATAGTTTGTTTGTATGCTTTAACTAGAAGGAACCAAACATGAAATTATTATGCTTTGGAACTGTTGGTATAGCTTTTCACCCACTTTCTCTTTTTGAAAAATACTAATGTTATTTTTAGCTACTACTACTTTGTAGTTCTGAGAAGGAATATTGTTTTACTGTGTCCTCTTGTCATTCAACAAACACATAGGTGCATTTATGCATCTCTGCGTGTTTATTTCAGTGCAATGCGTGTATTGTTGTCCAAGTTACCACGACCATGGATTGTTGATGAGAAAAAAGATGATGGTTACACTGCCTTGCATCTGGCAGCTCTCAATAATCATGTGGAAGTGGCTGAACTTTTGGTGCATCAGGTAGGACACTCTTCTTGGGAGGATTTAAATGTCACACTTCAGTTAACCATCTGATGTGAAAATAGTTTGCTTCTTTATGCCTGCAATCGCAATGCAGGAGCAGTGGAGCAGGGAAGGACACGTGGTGAGTTCCAAAGGTCAAACTTGCCTTTGAGATCATTACAATGGCTTAATGGTGCAGAGGGACTGAAAAATTTGATACCTAGTTTGATTCAACAGATCAACATCTGTACAGTGAATAATTAAAGTATTTAATCACTTCTGCTCTCAAATTTCCAAACTAGGAATCATATTCAGGGTTGTATTCAGTGCCCTAATGGTCTGCCTTGCCTGCAGATGAGTTGCTGGGATGATAACACTCTAATGCTTTGAATGTCTTTCAGGGCAATGCTAACCTGGATATCCAGAATGTTAACCAGCAAACTGCGCTGCACCTTGCCGTTGAACGACAGCATACACAAATTGTTAGGGTAAGTATCTTATTTGCAATAAACCATATGGTCAATGGTACTTGACTCAAGCTAATTGTAGCTGTTAAGACATGAGTACTTCATAAACATTTAAAAAATGATTTAACAACATGTAGCCACTGAATGTTTGTATGATTAATTTTAAACAATTCAGAAACATGCCAACTTGCACAGAAGGTCAGTCAGCAATATGAAGGATGCTTCCGGAATGCTAAATTTTTGTACATATGCATTATGGTTTCCACTATGTGGTTGCCAGTTCCAGCATCCCTCCTTGTTGAGTAAGGGAGAATGTGTTCCTCTGTTACTTGAGTGAGTCTTGTCCTGTAACAGGGCCTTCAAATAGCATTTTCGATGCCTCTTGCTGTATGAGTAATTATTCTTGCTCATAGCTTTTGCAACTTGTAGCCAAGTAAAATATCTTTTTAGGAGTTTAACTACTTTACAGTCTTCTGAGTGTGTAACTTCCCCTGTTCTTAGCTTTCAATTTAATTTAACAAAACTTTCTTGCTGGCACAGGAAACGGGAGTCTGGCACGGCTTGCCCATTCTGGCCTGTGTGCACTGTCCATATGGGACCTATGTGACTTGGTGTTTGGATTGCTAGCGTGGGTTGTTGAGGCTCAGAGAGCACTCACTGCTGTAGAGGACGTTCCCTATTAGTGAATACACCAACGTGGACTTTGCCTTCTGCGTAAATTTGTTTAATTTGTCTTTGTAGGGTGAGAGTCATCTTATATTAAAAACTGTCTTTTATTCAGGCCTACAGAGAATCGTCCCTCCTATGCAGACCTGTATCTGCGGTTCTGTTTAGCGTTATTTTGCTGTAAGGTTTCTCCATCTCCAAGGGCTGATGGATGTGATCCCATTACAGTGAAACATGTGATACGGCCCTATATCTGGAACTGCTTGCTACCAAAAGAATGGTTTCCTAGAGTCAGTGTCACTTGCATCCTGCAAGCTATTTGGCAGCTATATTTGGTGAGCTCTTGTGCCCTTCTGGAACTGACACAGTACCTGGAAATACAATACTAAGGTAGCAGATGAGCAGGAAGGTAGGCATGTAGAAGAACTAGTATGTATATTGGGCTGATGTGCTTATATCTGAGAATGTTTAAGTGAATGACCCTGTAGAGTATCCATACTTCAGAGTTGGATTAACTTTGAGAAGTCCTAAAATAACTCATGCAGCCATGAAAAGAACATGTTGGCTCCAAATTTCAAAAATAATTCCTATTGGGTACCTTCCAGGGCTGGGTTGTACCCTCAGGCATCTGTGGAGTAGTGGTCAAAGGTAGCAGGTTCTTTTAAAAGCCCTGCTGCCATGACAAAGAGTGGTGGTTTGTGGTGTTTTGGTTTTTTTTTTTTAATTTTTCTTTTTTTTAAACTTCTGCAAAGGTTTTGAATTTCCACGGTAGTCAAGGATTCCAGGTTGCTCTGAAAATAGTTCTCTTACAGATTTTCTTCCAGGAGAAACTCTTAAGCAGTAAATAGCTAGTGGCAGACACAAGATGTGAATATGAGAAAGAAAAATTGGGCCAGAATAAGTCCATTTAGAAAGTGTAAGAAGTTGGGGGGAGACTGTTGCAACTATTAGCTGGTTTTCTTTGTTTCATTTGTGGAAGAAAAGATTGGGGAGAATGGTAAGCTGCAGCCAATTACAAGCAGTTATTTCCTTGAAAATTAAGTTCTGAATTCCTTTTAATCTATTTTCCTTTTAGCCTTTTCTAGAGTCTGAGATTCTTTGGTTCCGAGAGGCTGAGATCCTTGCAAGCATTGCAAGTTCTGAAGAGGAAGATCCCCCTTCAAGCATTCCTGTTTCTAGGCTATGCCTTTTGTCTCTGCTGCTAATACAAATTTTGCAGCGTAGCAAAAGCTCAAAACTAAAGTTAAAACCTCAGCTGCTATCTACAGGTTTCTGAATAGCAACAGTGACAGGGTTTAATTTTTAGGGGCAATTGTTATTTGTCAGCATGTGTTGATTTTTCTTTAACAGCATATCTAAGGAAGTTCTGGTATATTGAATTGTGGGAGGGCTGTACACAAAGGCAACATGAATAAGAGGGCCTCTGCAGCCTTATGCTTGCTTTCATGTCATGTGACCTGGAACACGTGTCTAAAATTAGCCTTAAAGACAAGTCTTACAGTTCAGTACTTTCCAAAGTGTTCTGAGATAGTATTTAATAGTGTCATTGGTTTTTATGTCTTCTGCTGAATAAGGGTAAACCTATGAACATGCTTAAGTACTTTGCTAATGGGAGGATACTGTAAATTAAGTTGTAAAGTGTAACATGGTGTGTAAGTGCTGATTTTTGATGTCATTGAAACCTAATAGTAAAGAATACATATGTATCTGAAGTATTGCACACTTGTTCTGTTTCTGATACATTGCTGTAATATGTTACATTGTTTGTTTGTAGGCTGTCTTGTTAGAATTAAAAGGTTTTGGACAATAGAAAGAATCCTCTAAAATAACATCTCTTGTAGCACTCCCTCAGAGCACAGGCAAGTAAGTGTTAGGCTTCTGCTGAAATAAACTTGATATTTAAAAGAGATAAATGCTTCAGTTGAGGGCTGAGCTCCAAGTATTGGAAAATAAATAAATTCAACTGTGAATTGTAGCAAGATAAAAGAATAACCCTTTTGGACCTCCTAGAGCATCCTAAACCATAGTTTCCTGAAATTAGTTTTAGAAGGAATAAATAGCTTTTTTTGAGTTGTTAAATTCAGTTCTCTCTTTTCAGCTCTTAGTCCGTGCAGGTGCTAAGCTGGATATTCAGGATAAAGATGGGGATACTCCCCTGCATGAAGCTCTGAGACACCACACCCTGTCACAGCTCCGCCAACTCCAAGACATGCAAGATGTGGGCAAGGTAGATACTGCTTGGGAGCCATCAAAGAACACAGTAAATAAAATGCATTTATTTATTCCTTTTTTTTCCTGCACGTTTGTCTCTTTATTTGTCTAGTTTGTCTAGTTCTGTACTGTTCAAATGGTTTTTGGCAGCATAAGTTTACGTAGACATTCTGCATTAAACTGCAGTGTAGGCAGAAATCATATTGTTGTATGTGGCTTTTCACATGTAGTCATTATCTTTGTTAAAGAAAAATAGGGTTATTTAGTTCAAAATATTTCTACAGATCTATCTTCCATAGTGAACATATATGGCTGCCAAAAAATGAAAAGTAGCTTTTTAGGAAAGAGAAATAAACAGTATTACAGTACAGAATAAGACTAAAATTGTTTTATGTGATGCAACATCTTGCATGTCTTTGTAGCTTTAATTGTTTAGCTGCTTCTATAACCTTCTGAAAGTTACCCTGTTAGTATTAGGCATTCTTAATCTTTGTATGTTTATTGTTTATCTTTCTGACAGAGTTCATTTCAGAAATTGTGCTGTAGTAAGGAAATAGTCAAAGAAACTCCAGGTAATAAAGGTCAAAATGTTTTATTGAAAAAAAGGAACTCTCACACACAAAAAGCTGTGTTAACCCCATATGCAAAGCTGAAGTTTATAGTTTTGCTGGTAGGCAAAGGAGAAATAAAATTCTGGAGTGATTGGGATTGAGAAAAACAAACAATATTTTTTTCTTTAAATATTGAAGATGTACAATGCCACAGTGGATCAGATTTCCTGAATCATTAGTTACTAGTGTCATAGTATTTTTTCTAATTTTAACTGTGTGTGGTAAGATTTTTGCATTTCATTCAAAAAAAACCCCCACCAATTTTATTAAAAAGCCTTTGTTCAAAACAGTAATTCCACTGTACAGCAAATGTTTTTCAGACTGCTTACTTAATCCCACTGAAATACACTAGAATAAACTTTGAAAAGAGATTTAAAATATGACTGATGTATGTAAGAAAATGCTTGTGTCCCTTTAAGTGAGAGGAGGAAAGCAATTACAGTTCAGTTGCTTCCATGATCTGAAATGGACTCTCTGAGAAGTGGCCAGAATACTTTGTATGCATGTATTTAATTGTGAAACGAATGAACGGGAGATAAATACTTTTCCTCTGATTGAGCATTTCATAAATAGGTTTCTCTGTTGCCCATCTTATTAGTGACATCCACAATGAAACTAGAGTTGTTGTGTTTTGAGTTTTTTTAACACAAGTAGTGTTTTTTTTCCTACCACCTTCCTAAATTTTAGTTTGGGGGGATTTTGTTTTGAAGAATTAAGTTTTTCTTCTAGTTTCATTTGAGATGTATCCTTGGTTTAAAAAAAAAAAAATTACACTTTTGGTTTACTTCTATTAAAATAATAATAATTTTTAAAAAGGTGGGGGGGAGGACACCACAACAAACAAACAAACAAACAAAAAAATCCCTGCATGATTGTACCTCTGATCACCTAAAAATGTTTTAATGTTTAAAAAAAATTGTGATCAACCAGTACCTTCTATATTAGCTTACTGTTGGTCATTTTTTTTCACTTTGTTTAGCTGCAGAGAAAGTTTTTGCCTAACTAACAAATTTGGGAGGTTTAAGTGGTGTGGAGAAGATATGTGCCCTCAGAGAAGAGGTGAAAACTTGCTTATTTTAATTTTATGTGGCAGCAGCATGAGATGTGGCTGAAATGTAAAAGATGGAGTAAAGCCTGACGAGAATATACCTGAAAACTCTTTAAGATGATGAGCAGATCAAACTACCTTGACAATGTTTTGTGGAAAATAGATTTTCTTGAATAATTCTGATGACTGTTCCAGGCAGAGGAGCCAGTCTTGGCGTAGTGTATATCCACACCAAGTGAAGCAAATGATCTGTGTTTGATTTTCCTCATGGAGACAAATAGCTGTTTCATTCAGGAGCAACGTAGGGCCCATAAGGTGTAAGTGTGGATGGCAAGAGAACTCTTGTCCCAGCAAACCAGAAAGGACTACAGCAAATGTCTATTCTGCCAACCTTGGAGCAAATCAGCTTTCACTAGGCATTGTCCTGCCTTGGCTGGATTACTGTCATGGTCCAAGGTACCTGGACTGAAGCTAAATAAAATCTCTGTTTCACTTCAGCCAATGCTGTAATTGAGGTGCAGAAAAACAGTCTGAATTTATAAACAAAAATGTTCTGTGATCTGGACATCGCAGAAAAATTTCTCTCCATAACTTACTAGTTTTCCTGGTATGAAGTCTTTCAAGCTATACTGTTCTTACCTGATCACAGGGAAGAACGCAGGAACATGAGTATCTGTGAATTCATGAAGTGACCTTCAAGAGTCTTGTAGCACCTCAGTAATACTTACTGATGTGAGAACTCCTAACTAGAAAAAAAAAACTTATAGACTGAGGCTTAAAAAAAATGATTCCCTAGGAAACTGGGTGGCTGTATGATAAGGATAATCTTGCAGTTATCAAGGCAGGGTAAAGACTTCTAATACATACTTCATGTGCTGCAAGACATGGACCCAAACCAAGCCTTTTTCTTCACAAGTCATCTCTGAGGGATGGGGGAAATAACTAGAGGGATTTTGAAAACTGTTTTCTTCATAGTTCAGACTTCAAGATACGCAGCCCTTAGGGCTTCAGTGACAGGTATCTGGTATTTTAAATTCATTCCTATAAGCTGTTGTGTCTAAAATAGCACATCTAGTTCTTTAAATACTAAATGGTTGTTAATCCAGCCAAAATTTCTTAATTTTTAGGGGTGATACTTGACACCCAGCTTTTAGAAGACCAGCTACAGGGATAGATTGTACAAACTGCAAGTGGCATAGAAAGATGTACATCAGTCAAGTTGGACACTTAATTAATGGGAAAAAGGTGCATACAAAATCCTGCCTCTATCCTACTGTCAAAACCTTTATAATTCTGGAATTCAGCACTTAAAACTCCTTGAATTGGAGCTGTCCCAGCTGTGCCAAAGTGGTTCCTTTGAATATAGTCTAGTATAGTTGGCTGAGGGATTCTTAGTGGTGCCAGCAGTTTCATGTTATATGTAGACTGCATTATACTTCCACATTTTATCTGATCAAGCTTTAATACAAAAAAAGATGTTGGGAGCAGGCCCAGAATGCTCCAGAGTAAGTGAATCCTCTCCTTGCTGGGCTACAGTTGAGAGCCTTCTCTCTTCATTTTTCTAGTTGGCCCTGTGAATCATGCATAATAGTTATGCTAATACAGAAATAGAGTAATAGTTGTAAAAGGGCAAAGGAGCATTATATGATTAGGATGGGAGGACAGGTATGTGAGTTTAAATCCCTCCAGGCTGAGAAGGCAACTGAAATCAAGTCTTTCTTGGGCAGGTACTTTACTCACTAGACTAAAAGTAAGTGTGTATTCATTTCTCTGCCTGACTATGTTTTCAGTCCCAGCGTGGTGGTGGTAGCATTTTGTCTGAACTCAGCAATTTCAGTGTACTTCGAGTGTATTCTGAATATACCCACTGGGACTTTGCCCTTTACAGTGCTTATATAGAAGGACAGCCACTTCACAAGTGAGTATAGGTGTGCAGGAGATCGAATGCTTCAATAGCTGAACTATTCCTTGCTGAATTTTAGTTCCTTAAAGGAAAGTTGAGTATAGCTGACTCAAAATTAAGCAACCATGTGATTGTTTTGATTTTTAGTTCTAGAGACGCTTCCTTCAGCTTACAGATTTATACATATGTGTGTGTATGTGCATGTGCACATGTCAAGTAGTTTTCCTTTAGCCAGACTATTCCTAACTGTTTAGAGAGTCTCTCAAGTTGCTTATGTATTTGTTTTCTTTCAGTTAATAATGGGACTTGGCACTCAGGGAGCAGAGAAGAAGAGTGCAGCATCTATTGCCTGCTTCCTGGCAGCCAACGGAGCTGACCTCAGCATTCGTAATAAGAAGGGTCAGTCTCCTCTCGATCTCTGCCCTGATCCTAGTCTCTGCAAAGCATTGGCTAAATGTCACAAAGAAAAAGTCAGGTTTGTATATTCATAAAATATGCAGTTTCCAAATCTCTGCTTTCTATAGATTAACTAATGTATTTAAAACATTGTACCTTTATTAGCAATAGTGTTAAAACATACAAGCTTTTTCTTGACTTTCAATTAATTCTTTATTTTCTATGGTACATTGAATGCTATTTACAAATACATTAGTTGAAACTTACACAAGTCTTGCAGGACTTTCGTATCTGTTAATATGGGAGGGAGGAGAATGGGAAGGTGACAATGTGCAAGTGGAGGTTGGTAGAACATCAAACCATCCCAGAAAGGGGAGTGGGGTGGAAATCACTGAAGGAATAACTAAGCATTGCAACAGATTGCTCAGGGAGGTTGTGAAATCTCTGTCTGTGCAAGTTTTGAAGACTGGAATGGGCAAAGCCCAATATAACCTGGTGTGAATTCGGTGTTGATGCTGCTTTAAGCAGGTGACCTCCTGAGTGCCTGTCAACCTGAATGATTATATGATTCTGTAAAAAGAGGATGACAGGTTGGTCTGATGTTTCAGAAGCACTTCTCTAGGAATTGTGATTTCAGTGAAATGTCATGTTATCAAGTGCATGGAGTATGAGAAGTTTCAGCTTGCTACTTGTCCTAGTTGTGTTCCCACTGCTGGCTTACATGATTCTCATCCTTAATACCTGTATGGAAATCAAAAATGTACTTTCAAACTGTCACGAAGAGAGACTGTTTTCGTTGATTCTGCCCTGGTGTGTAAGATGCTTATTCAGAGTCTTTCTGTCTGCGTCTGTCCATCCGTCTCGGCCTCATCCCTGTGGCTGCTGCTCTTTCTCACCACCTTTTATGGGCTGGTGAGGGCCGTAGGGACGAGCTGCTTAGGTTCAACGCGTGCTCCCTCCGCTGGTGGAGCAGCGGCATAGGACGAAGATCCGAGGGGACCTAGCTGCCGGGAGCCTAGGGCTGCTTTTACAAACCTGTCACTTGCTAAGTATTGACAGTATCTTCAAGATTAAGGTTTTGGGCTGTGCTGTTCTGAATCTACAGGGTATGTCTCTATTAATAAATTAAACTCTTAGGGCGGGAGGGAAGGGTTTTTTTTTATGTTCACGAGATACTATTCTAACTTGTGTGGCCTGTTTCTGTGCAGTGTCTTACCTGAGCATGTGACCTTGTACTCTGGTGTCAACTGTACATTTGGGAAAATGCAGTTTGGATTGCGTTATGATGCCTAAAGGCATAGGAATATATAAACAGCCAATTGATGTGCATTTTACATTAAGTATTTAAAAAATTCTTAAAAGTAAGTTTGACTGCAAGGTTTCTTCGTAGTGGTCAGGTTGGTTCCCGAAGTCCATCTATGATCAACAATGATTCTGAAACCTTAGAAGAATGTATGGTGTGTTCAGACATGAAGAGGGATACTCTGTTTGGCCCCTGTGGACACATTGCCACATGTTCTCTGTGCTCACCACGGGTGAAAAAATGCCTCATCTGTAAAGAACAAGTTCAGTCTAGGACAAAGGTAAAAACTTCCAAAGTTTATTGGTTCTCTTTCTGTTTTTAATGGAAAAGTAAAAAAAAGAAGTCAAGGAAAAGTGTGGTGTATTTTAAGTGGTATTTTGCCTTACAGGTGTCTCACTGGATGGAATTAATTTTGCATCATAATGATATCTTGTTCCAATGTTGTATGTTACTGTTTTCTGCTTGCCTGTGCTCATGTCCTACTTGCCCCTCATTCTTTCCCCACCTTGCAATGTCTTTATTGTTCAGGTCCTCAGAGTTCCTAGTACAGTCACCTGAGGATGCTTTATTTAAATAGATTTTTTTTTTCTTCCCCCTGCATGGTATTTATTTTTTTCCACATTAAGATAAATTGCTGCTTTTCCTGAAGTATAATTTCCTTCAGTAATATTCAGTTCTTCCAAGTTCCTTTATTCCTTAGGGCTGCTTGGAAAGATAATTTGCCTGTAAACTGAGTTAGTTAATATGAGCTTGTTTTTGAAGTTTATAATTACTTTCAGCTTTCATGTTTTCTTTCTTTGGAATCATGAATTTAATCTCCTTTAGAGTATCAACCAGTTGTGCCCTATTTTGAGGACCTAATCCCAGTAAGGTCCTCAGGTTTCTTAAATGGTTGCTCCCAAGTATTTGTGACTATATGGGTACATCCCCATTGCTTTTCTGTTTGAGTATTCTTTTATTCCCCATAATCACCAAGTCTTGTCCTTCTGTTGATTTTTTGGCTGTTCAAAAAAAAAAAAACCCCCAAAAAAAACCCCCACCCCCCCCCCCCCAAACCCCTCATGTTCCATACACAGATTTTCTGATCTGTAGAAAACACACTCTATTCCTTTTATCTTTTTCCAAACACACTTGACCAGTCTGCTTCTGTGGTATGTTTTGTTGTTTTTACTATTCACTCTCTTATTCTTTCTTCTTATACCATTCACTATTCTGCAATGCATATTTTCAAAGGCCAAACGTTAACATAGTGTGAGCTCCTTTTCTGTAGACTTTCTTCATAGTCAGTGAAAAGGTTCTGCCACTGGGTGATTCAGAGCAGCAAAGTAAGGCTTCTACTTCCACTCGTCCATCTTAAGAAGCTAATCTATGGTAATCAGCTTTCCCAGGTGAAAGCTAACCTTTGTGGATAACCTTCCTTTGATTTCTTTTGCTAAATTAGATTGAGAGAGGGGAATACCTGTTCAATACTTCTCTTACACTTTTCTGTATAAAAACTTAGGGTAATATCTACAAAGCTAAGAAATGAGCGAACCTGGACAACAGTTCTGTGAACTGGAAGAGATGGTCCAGACCAGTATGAATGGAGTGATATGTGGTGTCTGTGGTCACACACTATATACAGTTCATCATATTAAAGGGCCTGAGAAACCCTAACCCAGAATATTAAAACAGATTACTATAAAAGTCTCTTAAGTGAATTTTGTAGAATCGTAGAATAGTTTGGGTTGGAAGGGACCTTTAAAGGTCACCTAGTCTCACCCACCCTGCAATGAGCAGGGACATCTTCAACTAGATCAGGTTGCTCAGAGCCCTGTCCAACCTGACCTTGAATGTTCCCAGGAATGGGGCATCTACCACCTCTCTGGGCAACCTGTTCCAGTGTTTCACCACCCTTATCATAGAAAATTTCTTCCTTATATCTAGTCTGAATCTACGCTCTTTTAGCTTAAAACTATTACCCCTTGTCCTATTGCAACGGTCCCTAATAAAAAGTCTGTCACCATCTTTCTTATAGGCCCCCTTTAAGTACTGGAAGGCTGCAGTAAGGTCTCCCAGGAGCCTTCTCTTCTCCAGGCTGAGCAACCCCAATTTAAGTATATATGGTGGAACAAAAAAGGAGAAAAGAATAAAGAAAAAGAAACATACACTGCCTTAGCTGCTTCTCTGTGCCTGTCAGTCTACTGAACACATAAATACTGCCAGCAAATATCTATTCTTAGAAATCAGTGTGATAACTCATTTAAGTTGCATTTTGAGATGCTGAATTAGTTAAAATAACAGTGGATGGAGCTTCCACATGCCTTGCCAAAGATAGTGTAGAAGCAAATTAATGTAGAGAGCAGGAGATAAACTTTTCTCATATGTGTGTTTATTGTTCTTTACAGATTGAAGAATGTGTAGTATGTTCAGACAAAAAGGCAGCAGTGCTTTTCCAGCCTTGTGGTCATATGTGTGCCTGTGAGAGTAAGTAAACTTAATGGAAGTTCTTTTTGAAGTAATCTTGAAACAGAACATTTTTAATCAGATTGCTAAAAGCTCATTAGTAATCTGACTTCAGGTCCAGTTTACACAGTAGTCTGGTGTGATAGTCAGAATTTTGGCATTATTAGGTGTGCTGGTAATGAAATAATTGGAGGACAAAGTAGAGATTTTAAAAAAATTCAGAAAGCAAGTGCTCTTCCATCTGAATTGTTTAATTCAGTGTAGGCTTGCTCAGATTATAGAAGCCTGCTGTATATCATTAAAACTTCTGAAGTAATTAGAATTAATTTTATTGCTTTGTGGCAGCTTTTTGGGGGGCATTCAGATGTGCAGATGCTGTTTTAAAAGAATATTGTAAATAAATATTTAATATGCTTCATTACTAATGTACAGATTTGCACAAGGGCTATATTTTTCCCTTAAAGACACATCATATATCTTTGCAAAGAGCACCAGTTATGATTCACTCTGATTTATCTTGTGTAGAAAAAACAGACAAGAGATCTCCAGAATTTTTTTGGTTTTGAGAGTATGTAGATGAGAATGCAGCCATCACCAGACATTTCAGGGCATTGTTGAAGGGTCATTTGCCTAGAGAAGAGCAGTCCTTGTTGGTGAGGATCTACATAAGAGGGAAGGTAGTCATTCCCATAAGTAACTGCTTGCTTTGTCTCGCTAAAGAAGTCTGGTTTCTTCCTCTGTTCTGGCTGAGACACCTGACATTGAATCACTACTGACTTTATAGTTATCCTGATCTGGCCTCTTTCACTGTCTGCAGTTGAAAGATGATGAGAGAAGGGTTTTTTTATTAGTTTCCCAGGAAGAGGATAGCAAAAAGATTGATTGCTCTGGTGAAGGATTTCAGCAGTGCAATACATGTCACCAAGTCTAAGCTGGAACAAGGACAGCAAAAGTTTTAACAGATGTAGATGATTCTTTCCAGATTATCTTCTGGACATCTTGTTCAAGCAGGATGAGAGAGTCTTCAAATTTGTGTAGTTTATAGGACCCACTCTATTGATTCACAGTAACTTTCAGCATTTATGGGACATAATCTTTTGCCTTTTGTAGAAGAATTACAGCCTCCTTTCTAGGATTATATTAAAAGATATAGGTTTAGTCTTTTAAGGGTAAGGAGCCACACCTGTTTGCACCTGGAGCATTAGGACAGTAAGTGAGATCCTTTGTTCTAAAGGAAGAAACATGTAGTCAAGATGTTCTTGGAAATTCTGTTCTCAAATGTATGTGATTTTACTTTTTTGACTTCTGTAATTCCTGTGGAATAGACATCCATTTGGAGAAAGAGGAACCTGTTTGCTTGAAATATGTTAAAAGAAGATAAACAGAATAGGTTGACTTTGAATCCCAAACAAGACATTTTTTGTAGGTGTTATTTGCAGAAAATGATGTGAAGATGAACACAAGTAGTTATTTGTGTTATAAGCATTTATTATGGCATTGCTATATAATTATTGTGAATAAACAAACTCATGGATAGCAAAGAAGAAAAATGAAATGGCAGGATTCAGAGTTGATTTATTTCTCTGTCAGATTGTGCAAGCTTGATGAAGAAATGTGTACAGTGTCGGGCAGTGGTTGAGCGAAGAGTGCCTTTCATAATGTGCTGCGGAGGGAAAGGTACAGAAGATACCACTGATGATATTTGTGAGTGACTCCAAAACCCATACTCTTTCACATTCCATCACCAACTTCTTATTCTCATTCTTTTAAATGACGTAAATCTTTCCTCTTTTTTTAAAGAAAAGTTTAATAAAAACAGTGCTAAGTCATGTATCCATTTGCTGTTTGCACTACTTTCTACATTGGTAGCGGCAGATGTGATGGTAATGCCTGTCACTACACTAAAGGATTGCTTCCAGTATCCAGAGTAGAAGCTGAAACATATATGACTTCTTGGTAACTTATTAATGTCCTATGAAGCAAAAGGTGATGATTGTCTGTAATTGTGCAAATGAGCAAATAAATGTGTTGGGTTTTGTGGTGTTTTTGTTTTTGTTGGTTTTTTTACTTATGGAACTCTCTGGCTGATAAAGGAATGGTAAATATTTTGCTCCTAAGTACAAGCAACTTTCATGACAGATTGTTCAGTTTTACATCTCCTGCTTTGACTAGTTTTTAAATTTCTTGTGACTTCTCTGAAAAATTTCTATGAATTATTTGTATTTACTCTGTGTATGTATGTGTGGTATGCAGTGTTTGAATTGAGTTTATGTGAATTGGAATATTAGGTCAGTCTTGTCATACTGTTCCTAAATAGATAAATATAAGAGTAATCCTTAAATTGCCAGCATGAATATTAAAAACCTGATTTTAAAATTTGTCATTTGAAATACTTCTCAATTCTTCTGTTTCTTATAGTAACATTGCTTCCCAGATATGAGTCAAATACAGGAATATTAATCTGAGTTTTTTCAAATTTTGAACAAACTATTTCCAAGATGCTTGTGCAGTTTTGAATACCAAATAGAATCGGCTGTGTAGATAAAAAGTCTTTTCAGTGTGAAAGGATTTGGCTTTATTTTTCACATGTGCAAAAAAATTTACTGCAGGAACTTCACTGGCAAATAAGAACTCTGAGAATATTAAGGGGCTACAGGCATTTTGAGCATCATTATTGAGGAAATATTGTCAAAGAAGCACTGCCACTAACCTCAGAGAAGTTCTTTGTGAATTGAGCTGCAGTGATGTAGTGAATTTAATTAGATTATCAAATGTGTTTCACTAATGTTATTTCAGATAATTGAAAAAATGCAGTTAGTACACTGGAAATAATTATACCTATTTCATTAGGTTGATGCATAATCACATATCTTTATTTTCTCTAAATTACAGCAAGTGGAAACATTCCAGTTTTGCAGAAAGACAAAGATAATACCAACGTCAATGCAGATGTACAGAAGCTGCAGCAACAGTTACAAGACATCAAGGAACAGGTAAAAGTGCTGGATAGAAATTTTATAGACCACTAAAATAATTGAAAAAGCCAATGCATCTTCTGTTACTTAAAACCAAATGACATGTGGAAGTGCTTCAGTTCTTAAGTTTTAGTTAAATAACTGATATTTTTTGTGTGGTGTGGCTTTGTATGTCTTCTATGTACAGGTTTAAAAAAAAAAAATATCAAATGGCCATGTTTGCTAATCAATCTATTATAGCGTCTGTGTTAGTGTGACTGAAAAAGGATGCTCTGCCCAGTCAGTATGTTCTCTGCCTGTTTAGCTGACCTGAGTATATAGGTACAGCAGAAGCTGTTTTCACGGAACAGTAATAAAAGTAGATATTCTTCACTATTCTGTATCTGCCTGGATCTTTACTTGTCTGTTCATGAACTGCCTTTGAACAGTGGCTGGCAGTTACCTGTCAAATGAAGGCTGTAGTTTATGTACACTTAAAATTGTGTGGTTGCAAAATTAAAACCTTTGAAAGTACTCTACATGTAATTTGAATCAGAATGTAAATGTTAAGGTTTGTCTTTTGTAATTATGCAGAGTGTTTGCGGGAGGAAATTCATACGAATTGACTATAGATTGTATTGATTATTCAGTGGTTAAGTTACATGCAATTTAGAAACCCAATGAAAACCAAAAATTAATGTTTCTGATAACTGACACTTACCTATTTGTTACATCTGTAAGTCTAGTTCCATTAGAAGCGCTTAAGTAGTTGTCTACATGCAGAACTTCACTGTGTTAAATTACTAAATTATTTCCTTGCTTTTCCATCTGACCAAAGAAAAAACTTGATTTTGAGATTTTTTTTTTTCAGCAGTAAAGGACCTGGGGTATCTGACTATTGTATGAACTTACTCTCTTAGAACCCCAATAATGTGATTTTTGGCTTCCCTATGTATAAAGCATTTGGAAGAAACTTTTCATGATACAGGAAACAGAGAAGCGTTCTTACTGTGTTACTTGCTTTTTCCTCTTGTAGACTTAGAGCAGTTAGTAATACTTCAGTGATGGCAGCACCACATATAGTCCTGGTAGTTGTTGCTCTCAGCTGTTCATGTGCATGAGAGCTAAGACTAAAGTGTTTTAGATTGCTAGTTTTAGGGCCCATATCTCTAAATGCCTTGAATTTGGGAGCTGATATGCTGTCAAATTTTAACCTCAGTGGCATGTCTGTGAAGAGCTATTCCTGTCACATGGAGGCTTGGCCAACACCCCAGTAACAGAAATTCAAATATCCAATTCAAAACAGATTCCTTTGTAGTTTCTGTCTGTAAAAGAACATGCAAATTAAAAATTGTCATTTGAAAAATGCATGTCTGTCTTGACAATAACATCTGGAGTTTCTAGATATCTCTGATGTCTTGTACTGTTAAGCTTCTGTTTTACTTTTTAACATTGGATGGAAAGAATAAGGTTACTGCTTTGGCATTTAAAATGATATATGCAAAACATGCAGATAAATGCTTAAATGCAAGTAATCTATTTTCTTCAGATTTTTTTTTTTCTTTTCTGGTTATTTTAGAGTTTATAAAAGATTTGAGTTCTGTTTGGGTATGCTAATACTCTTTTTGTATAGGGATGTGAAAGGAAAACTATGTTACAGTTTTTCTTCTTGATTAGGTGTGATCTCAGTTTTTTCGGTTGTCCTTAGGTGCTCTTTTATTCTTAACAGTTTTGTCTTACCTTTGGGATTTGGTAGCCAGAAACTTTCTGGTATCAGAAAGTTATGCTGTATTAGGGAGAAGAGAATAATTACTTTATATGTGTCATTTTCTACTTGTGTTTTCTGGTTTTCATATTTGCAGTAGTAACAAAGATTTAATACTGGAATGCTTTGAGAATTTAAGTGCTCTCTTTTGCTTTGAAATGCCCTTTTGTCCAAAAATTTAGTTTAAAATCAATATAAAACTGAAGATTATTCAGTGCCTCTGACCAGAAAGAGGTGGTTCTGGTTGTTCTTGTTTGCATCTTGGCTTGAGGCTCTTTCATGTTTTCCTTAGTGTCTTTTCTGCTTAGTCTTGTGATAGAGCAAGTTGAATTTGATTAAAATTAGTCATCTCATCTTTTAAATTTGTTCTTGAAATGATGCACAGGATTCCACTATAATCATGTATTCTTTTGATTTGTGCTTTGACAGTTGAGTCTTCACGTTACCTTGATATTTTCGTACCTAAAATTAATTTGTTCTCTTTCAGCAGGTATAATCCTATGTTTCAGCTCATACCTTCAATGATAATCTAATACGTTAGTGCAGCAAGCTTTTAAAACCATTTCTGGTGCCAAGCAGAAGTGATGCTGATGTCAACAGAATCTCCCACATCTGATGACCACACCATTCTTCAGGGATTCCCTGAATGTGAACCCTTTTGACTGTAATTGCAATACCTTCACTCCATTTCATACATAATCACCATCATCTGTCTAATATCTTATGTATGTTCCTTCACCATACTTACATCACTTTCTCCTTAAAAATAAATTTATTTTGTCACCGTGCACCTGTATATTGTTGGAAAAACTGTTTTTAGCAGTAAGAATTGTTATTTCAAGCAGTTTAAAACACCTTGTTAGTGGTAAAAGTTGATTTGAATTGTACATCCAGTTATACTTAAAGGTACAATAAGTACTTTTTCAGACTACTTTTACTTACCCAAAGAATTAATTCCCACATAGAACAGGTATAGTGCCTTTTTTTACCATTTGTTTTACTTTGAAAGATGGGAGTCAAATGTTTCATGCAGATAAAGTAGAGTGTAGTTTCATGCAGAGAATATTCTAACAAACTAGTAATACAATAGAAACAGATACTGCTTATTTTCTGCTGCTGTGGCACAAATTGGGTATAAGGCATGCAGTGAGCTTTCTTCCACTGTAAAAGTATATATAAGCTGGTGGTTAAGTAACGAATGCTCCTTGAAAGTTGGATGAAGCTCACTTATTTGGGCTTGTATCCCACTGGGAAACTGCTGAACTAATCAAGAAAATCCTTGTCAGAATAGAATTGCATAACAAACAGGAAGTTTGGTTGTTCCTGCTAGCTGAATTCTCCTACTGTATGAAGTAACTTAAATGTTAAAATAGTATCATATTAATAAATTAAATAGCTAATATATTTTATATACTCTGCATTTGTACTAAGCAGGATAAATGGGGTGATATGCTAATACTGCATGCAATATCAGAAAAGATCTATGAAATTAAAATGTTAGGATTTTTGTGCTTCACTGAATGAAATAATCAAAAGTAATTGCATTTGAAGAGATTTTTTTATTATTATTTCTGAGTCCCCTGATGGATGTTTTTATTTTCAAATGATGGTGTGGCATTTGGAGAGAAACAGACCCTTGTAACTCCAGTAATTCTGACATTATATTTAGGCACAAAAGCAAATAATTAAGCTAAAAACTTAGAACAAAGTCTGCAAGTGTTTTCTCCAAAGATAAGATTCAGGTTTGCTTTGTCAGTCCTTTGTCAAAGGACATCATGTCAGTATTATCAGGTTATAGACACTTGTCCCACTACAGCTATATATTAGTTGGAAATAGCTGTTTCATTGCTATGTGAAGGCTGTTGTTACTGGAAGAAGAATGGTCTAATTGTCCCATTGGGATGTGAAGGTGATGATGTGGTGTGGATGGAAAAATGAGCAGGACTGAATGACAGACAGTTGGTCTTTTGCAAATTTTTAGTTTGAGAGTGTTTTGTTGCAGCACTGTGGAAATTCTGAGAAAGCTGGAGCACAGCATTTTTGGGAAGAGTGAAGGGGTTTTTTTTTTTAAACAAAGTGACATAAGCTTTTATCTGGAAGTTTTACATTCCTGATGGGCCATTATACTGGTATCCTGAAGATTAAAATAGGCATTTTGCCAGATTCCATGCCAATTTAAACTCTATATAAGCAAACTGATGGTGAATTTTTTTTTTTGGGTGGTCAGCTAAGCTATCTGCCCTAAGAAGTAATGCGTATTGATTCCATAGAAAGTATGCTTTAAAGGGTTCCTGCTATGGGTTCTCTCTCATGAGATAAATAAACTAAAGTAAACCCCCAATGATGAGTATGGAAACAAGTCACAGGTGCAAGGTGGTGATAAAATGAATTTGCATTTGAAATATGAGCCCTGTCAGTATTTCATATTATATATGAGATGAACATTTGTAAGTGTTTAGATAGGAGTAGTGTGTCTCAGATCTGAGGACATCTTAGATCTGATTTGTTGGACTATAGAACGGTCTTAACAATTACCATCTGTTATAATATCTATTCATTTACTAACCTTTGACAAACTGTTATAAATTAAATCCTAATATGGCTGCAGTATGTTTATGGTGAAGGAACATGCCTTACCAAAACTTCAGTTTCTGCATGTGACAAAAGGTGAAGGATATTCCTTAGTGTCTTGGTACAAAATGAACTTTGCTGTTGAAGAACTTCAGAAGATCTTTTTTAGGCATTGGCTGTCACTTCAATGTTCAGCAATTAAAACTGATTTTAAAAGTTTGCTGTGCTAGTGTTATGACTGAAGGTCACAGATTTATTAAATTGTTCTTAATTTGAAACTTGAGGTGTTCTTTTGGTTGAAAATCTAGATAACTTCCATGAACAAAGGCTGGAATTGCCAGTATTGAATCTTTACGTATAATATTGATTATGCAGCATTTTTATTACTTCTGCACGTGTTGAGTACTTGGTGTTTAAAGGTAAGTATGTGAATGGCTAGATAGCCTGAGAAGAAATTGGTAAATCATTACCCAAGCACGGCACACATAAAAGCTGTTTGTGTTGTTTGTTCCCTGGAAGATTACGTGACATAAAGGGGAATGTTGCTGAAGAATGTCTTAATGTTGCAAACTTGGGTAATGATATTGAAAATGTGATGTCAACCTACTACTGGATTGTCTTACTTAAAGGGACCATATTTGGAAAAAAGCTACATAGTTTTTGTGTCATGATGGGGTAGGAAAAGCCCAAATATTTTAAGGCAATGTGAAGTAAAAAAGTGGTATTCAGTATTGTATCACTACCACCATTGACTATGTAACTTGTCAAAATCTTTTACAGACTATGTGCCCTGTCTGTTTGGACCGTCTGAAGAATATGATCTTTCTCTGTGGCCATGGAACATGTCAACTTTGCGGAGACCGAATGAGTGAATGCCCTATATGCCGCAAAGCAATTGAACGAAGGATCCTTTTGTATTAAGTAGTGGAACCAATGTCTTCTATTAGCTTATGAAATAATAAGAACATCTTGATGATTTAAATCTCCATAAGTTTGAAAGGCAGTAAAGGGTTCTAATGAAAACATTTCTAATACTGTAGCACAGGTTCATTATATGGTAATTGTTTAAAGACTGTGAACACAACAAATAAGAGAACAGTATTTGAACAGTCAGCTTTTAGCTTTATTCTTGGAAAACATCTAAGCCTGAAGCTAATTTAAAGCAGTCTTTTTTTCATTTTCTTTCTGACTCTTTCTTCCCTTAAAGTTTAAAGGGACAATCTTATTTTGGTTTCATTCATGTTTTTTAATGTATGTATCAGGTGTCAAGTGTTGTAAGGGGGTTTTTTATATTGCCAGTTAATATCAGATATAAATATTTAGGATTTTTTCATTTTATGCTTCTCTGGAGAATGTTGATATTTCCTGTGACAGTTATGATTCACAATAATTTTTGTCTTGAAATATACAATAATGCAAAAACAATACAAAGTGTATACACGGTAGTAATAAATACACAGTTCCCATAAGTTCAGGCCTCAAAATCTAATGTTAAGGTAATTCTGTTTTCCTAATTCTTTTTCACTAGAACAAGCCAGAATTACTTGAAATTATTCCAACTTAGCATCAATTGAATAATTCACCTGAGTAAGAACTGATCTAAAGCATCCTGGGTGGGAAACAGGAGTTGAATGTTAAATACTCCTTGTCTGCAGGAGGCATATATTGTAGCATAGGGCAGGTAAGTGCTCCGTTAGGCTTGTACTTTCCAACAGAGAAGCTATATGAAGTGTTGCTTTATAACACTCAATACTTGGATGCCATCACAGTCCTATGGAAATAGAGACAATGACTGAAGGTATCGCTATAGGAGCAGCTGTAGTCTTCTATACTGTAGTCACACCAGATGTATGTGACTGCATGCAAGTTTGTGATTGGACTCATTTGGCAATGTTGTGTGCCAGTTGAAATTAAAGTGTCAGCCTGATGCTATTGTGGTGCCAAAAGAAACCGCTGAAGTAGAAAAACTAGGTAAGCTAACCAACATGCTTGAATTATTAATATAGGTGTCTATTAAAAGGTGAAAGAGCTCTATCTTGTACTGGGAAGGCTACACGGTGCTTGCCTTTCCAAAAACTTAATGAGGAAGAATGTTTGCAAATCCAGAATCATTTTCACACACTGTCTTTGGATTCTGATGTTGAAGGTCAGCTAGTGTTGTTGAGGAAGCTAGTAAGTTCATTCACTCTAATTAGTCTAATATCATCTGTGCAATGTGCACAGAGTGCAAATGTTTAATTGGATAACACTTAAATAATCGAAGGATGAAAAACAGAAGCTCAGCTGGAAGCCAGAGGGGATCATAACAAGTAGAAGAGTTGAGTATATGTCATTGTGCCTCTTTCTTCAGCAAAAGATGAAAGTGTAAATCTCATTATTATCATCATCACTATTATTAGGGAGCAAAGTGAAAATAAGAGAAAAATCAGTAAGGCATTGATCTCTAATATACTGTAAAATCATAAAATGTAAGAGTTGCAAGCTTTGTTTATTATGATTATCCCCCAGTATTTAATAGCAGTTTTGAAATTGAATGAAATATCTCAGTTTGTTTCTTGAAACAATCAAGAAGGCATCTAATAATATATATTGTTCAGGTGTGAGGTATGCTCAGATGTTTAAGTAAAATACTTTTCATTTTTTTCCATTTAGTAAAATACATAAATGGTCACATCAGTACACAGTGATTTAAAGTATAAAGACAACCTGAGAGGCTAACAGAATATGCTAAATAGCTGTAGCTTGCTAACTTCAGTGTAACTATGTTTGACTTTTTTTCCCCAAACCTACTGTCTATCACTTACTATATCCCAAGCTCATATGGCACTTCTCAAAATTTGGGCTATTATTACCTATTTTCTATTTGTCAAAATACTCTGTACTTTTATTTTGGAGTTTGGAGGAATCCCTTTTTGCTGAAGTGGATACTGAAGATTACATTGGCAAGAGAATAAACAAGTTACTTTGTAAATGTGAAAGTTTGATTATGAGGTGGTGTTCTTAACTTGGACTGGGTGAGGATATAGCAGATTTGCACAAGTACTTGTGCCTTGTTAGCATAGTCTTAAAATCGGTATTTTAGCTTCTTTTAAAGACGTGAAATGGTCTTTTAAAAATAATCTGATTTAGGTACTTACTGTGTAGATATTTTCTAGAGATGAAGTTTTATGTATGCCTAATTATTTTTAGCAGTATTAATTGCAGTTTGTGTAAACACCAACTTGTTTGAAGAAGCTGCTTTGAGCTAGTGATTTAAGCTTCCTCTACAAAATTAAACGTCAGAAACTTAATTTTACTCTTCCAGTAGCAGCTGGTGAACCGAAGAGCCTATCCTGTTCTTTGTGCTGCATGGGTCAAGTTTTCACTTAAAAAAAAACCCCAACAACACTACAGACTAACTTTTAGCAGTGCTACCTCCTTTCTGTCAAAGTACTGAATTCTTCTCTAGTTGTTCTTTGTCTTTGGGAAGGGATGGGGAACACATCAGTTTTGTTTTGCTTTGTCAGTTTTGATGTCTGAATACATTGTGAAGGTTTTTTTACTGACTATAAATTACGTACAATATGTGTGATTTACCACAATGTACATTGTATATCATTCTTGCATAAGTTGCTGGAATTCATACTATTGTCTTTTTATGCATTTCATAACTTGTTTGTGTTGACAAAGCAAAACTTATCTGCAGAAGTTTTAGTGTGTGCCATTTTTATAGCTAAGCCTGTGGTAAATACAAAAGTTCTGGCTCAGGGCTTTTTAACAACTTAAACACATTCACAATATTCTTCAGCACATCTTGGAGAATATTAGAGATTTAATGACTATATAGTGCCTTGATAGAACTATTGAATGGGCAGCAGCTGTAGAGTCCTTACAGAATGCAAGTATCTTTTGAATCCAGTTAATGAGTTGTTGTTAATATAATTGTAATACCCCTGCCATGGGTTTAGAAAATTGTATATACTTTCTGTACAGGAAAATCGGCAAATTTAGGTATTGTTAAGCTTTCTGAAAGTTGTTTGATTGTTGCACCAATCATGAGGGTCTGCAGGGCATAGTATTCAAATTTGCAGAAGGAGCATTTGTGGCAAAGACAGCTGATAAAAGTGTTCTGTATGTGACAGTTTTAGTGTGAGGGGAGAGGTCATTGTATAAACAAACATGTAAAAATACCTGCTTTACTCTGGCCCAGTAAGTCTTTTATAAGAGAGAGAGAAATAATCAGCAACAAATCTGTATGTCTGCATGCCATTTTATAGTTAGAAAAATTTAAGTCTCATTTTGCGCTTCTAGGAAATACTTTCTTTGTCCCAAGCTTAGTGTCTTTATGAATGCAAACTATTCATGTTAGAAAACTGGTTTTACTGAACCACAGGAACATTTTTGCTTTTATTAAAACCAACTTTGTATTTTCAGTAAATTGTAGATTTTTACATGACTGTTTATTGGAGAAATTTAAGGTTGTCTGTGTGAATGTAGTGGATTTCTGTATGCAGATAGCATTATATAATTGCTTTCATTAAAACTGCTTAGCACGATCTAAGCTTTTCAAAGGAAATGCTAACATACTGTATGGTGAATAAAACTTACATAAGATGTATACTGACTTTTTCAAAAGGTTTGATTTAAAAGTGTAGTTGGACTGAATTAATACTGGTTTTTGAGTGTACATCATTGGGAAGGGAGTAGTGGCTTATATGACTTCCTTCTTCTTGGTTCTAATGATGTTAGATGTCACCACGGAATTAGAAAATTGTATACCTGAACAAATGTTTGGTAACTCTGTTAGTTGTTGACATACAATGTTTAAAAGCACAGGGGACTTTATTTATTGAGAAAGTTTGCAATCCAAACTTCAAAAATTCTGGTTCTTTATAATGTAACCCTGAAGAGTAAGTTTGTAGCAACATCAGAAATGCTATGTGCCTTTGAATCTCCCAGATACTCAAATATTGTTTAAGCAGCACAGTAGAACTATGAAGGGTGGATTATGTTGTAACAACTAAAAGGTTGATTTAAAATATTTATCTATGGCATATGTGCAAATTTTTCTGTGTAATATGCAGTTCATAATGCTTATTAGAGCTGCTGTTAAGTTTATGTTAGACTCTGGGTTTACTTATAATTGAATGGCCACTACAGATCTGGCTATGTGAATGTGATCATTTAAAAATCTCCTGCCAGATATGGTAACTCTCATATTCTGCATATTCTGAGACAACAGTTGCTGCATCATAGTTTATACTTTCAGGATTCAATTTAATGGATGCATTAAAAATATATATAAATACATATTTAATGAAGGGCAACAAAACCAACAGACTTCAGTGGCTTAGTGTTTTAATTTGTCATAGTGTACAGGTGAAAAATGAATTGACAGAATAAAAAGTTTGTTGCTCTCTTTCTTAGTTTCTTTTCATTTTTCAAGATTTCTTCAACTTTGGTTTGTATGAAAACACAATATTTTCAGATATATTTTTTAAGAACTTTTTATTTTAAAACAATTGATGCAAATTGTCAAAATACATTTTAAATAGCCAGTTGTTCGTTGTTTTGGGACTTACAAGCCATTCACATACTTCTCCATACCTGTTCATTGAAAGCAATTGGAGCAGTGCTGGCATAGGTTTAAGACTTGGTCTCTGCAGTCTCTAGGGTTTCAGCCCCTAATATTGGTCACAGTGGAAGCAGCTGGTTTTGCTGGTGTTTGATATTGATGGTTTTTAGATTTTGAGATGGCTGCTTCATAGTGTACAATATAATTAATGCAAGATTTTATAATATAAATACTGTATATTATAATTAATCTCTGTATAATTTACTTTGCTGTTGTAACCAATTCTAGCCGTGTCCAGTATGCAGCTGTCTGTGACAGGAATGATGAAACTCCATGGAGATTTCCTTTGGATTTGACATTTAATTAAATGCAGAGGGTGGTTCTTCATGGGTGTAGTACTCTGTTTTATTTAGGGAAGAAAAATTAGCAGCAGTATTTGAATAAAAAGTGATAACTTTCCTTTGCAGACTTGGTTTTCCACAATATGGAAAGGTAATTTCAGAAACAACATTGTTGAAGATCTTGTTGTGCTTTGTGCAGCCCTCTTCAAGTCAACAAAGTAGCATGCATTGGAAAGCTTTTCCTTTAAAGACTGAAACCTATCAACTGTTCTTGATACTTATGAAAAGGTTTTGGCTGAAAAATACTTTAGGGATTTAAATACTTTGTTCCTTTTGCAGTAACCAGTGTAGTATGTCCAGGCGCTCCAGGAGATAGTAAGTTGTTTGTTGGGGGGGTGTTTTGTTTTGTTTGTTTGTTTTATTAAAAAGCAGTCATTAGAGAGTGATGCTATGATGGATTGAAATAATTTAAATTACATTGGAAATCAAGAACTGTGCCAGCTGGTAATGTATAACTTTTATTCTGTGACAATGCAAGACTTTAAGTTATAGGAAATTTAGTGCAAGATCTTATTTCTTACAGTTAGGATTTGTTGATGCTTACTTGACTGCCCTAAAGAAGTTAATAAAAAACTTAATTTCTGCAAAAATGCGTAACATCAGGAAAATACACTTGTGAGACTATATTGACGCCTTGACACACTATAACACCGTTTCACTGATTTTTTTTCCTTAATAAATCTGAGGGAAATAAGTAGACAAACTTAAATCTGAGCTGATTTCCCCAGTGACGCATGCTTGTGCATCCTAAAATGTTTGAGTATTTCTTCCACAAGGGGTCAGTAGCACCCTCTGTTTGTGACAAGTTTTTTTGTAACATAAGCACAAAGCAAACAAGGGATAAGGATAATGATGATTGCATTAATATGTGGGTGGAGCAGACCTCACTTGTCCCCTTCTTCAAGCAGGCTAAGTATAATTAGCTTATTTGCTGACTTCAGTAAGCACCATATTCTATCCTCTGACTCTCATGTGACATGAACATTGCTACTATTGATTAGGGCAAAGTTCCAGTGGAGTGTTTACCTTTAGCTCTAGCTGAAAGTATTCATTTAATCTAGGTTTTTCCAAAAGCGTGCAGCTGGAGCAGATAAACTATATGAGAGAGCTTGTCCAGTGGGCAAGGGAAAAGAATTCTTGTATGAGTGTCCCACATATTCTTAATGATAACCACAGTCTCCCTAGATGGCTAAAGCTAATTAATATTTGCCACCCTATAGTAACACAGCTTATAGTTCAACATGCTTTGAAGCCTATCAGTCTGCTCAGTGGAAGGAATGTCCAGCTTCTCAAGGCTTCCCTGAGTATGCAAGTTACTTGGAGACAGAAGTTTGAAGTAACTCATTATCTTTCTGCCAAGAGGCTGAACAGACCAGACAGCTATTCCCCAGACAAAAATTTCCAACCTTTGTACCAAAATTATATTTCACATATAGGAATCCAGGATGGTCAACGTAATTCAGGTTGGCACAGGTTCTTACTTATGCTTGCTGAATTAACACAGGACCTTGCTTACCTTCATGTTTGCAACTCTTGTTATTCTCTGTTTCACATCTGTTATGGTTTTTGCTTCTCGTGTCTTCAGTGCTTCTGTCCCCCACTACTCAAGTCTTCGATTTAAATTCTTCTTATGTCTGTTTTTTTGATAGCAGAACTGTGTCCCTTCCTTCTTCACATATCCCTTCTCAATGTAGTTCTTTCCTCCATTACACTGAGGTTGGCACAGTGCTTTGGCATAAGCACAGTGGGGCCCTATCCTTGTGTCTGACTCCACTCTTAATTGCATATACTGACAGCAGGAATTCCTGAATTCAGTCTTAGCAAGATTTCACATTAATTTGTCAACATCCCTTATTTGTCTGTATTGGCAGTGTAAGAAACAGGGTTTGGCTACCACCTGAGGAAAGGGTAGGGGCGCTTCTTTTAGTCTAGTTGCAACTCTTCTCAACTATATGAGGAAGATCAGGAACAAGTAAATGTTCCAGGATTGTTTGGTTTGTTTTGTTTGTTTGTTATTGGGGTTTTTTTTTTCCTTCTATAGGCTGCCTGAAATGTTCATTACTACCATATCTCAGGTTCAGTTTTTGGTGACCAGCTAAAGTACTTCTCAAAGAAACTCACTCTGGATGCAAGTTCCTGTCTCCCTAGTAGTGTGTATCTTGCCCACTTAAGTTGCCTGAAGGAAGCCTGTTTAGTTCAGTAGGATCACTTGCAAGAGCATGGGTCTTTGCAAAGAGAAGGGTTCTGTTATTGGGCTTCTTGCTGTCTCCGTAGAGAAGTATGGAAAAAGTTCTGCCTCTTTGAATAAAGTAAGTAAGTCTGAAACCACATTCCAAGTAATACACTTTTACTAAGATTTCATAATCCCTACTGTGTATATGAACATAAGTGCCGGGTCCTGCACTTGGGTCACAGCAACCCCATGCAGCACTACAGGCTTGGGGAAGAGTGGCTGGAAAGCTGCCC